CTTGGAGGTGGAGAAAGGTTTATTCAAGTTGGCCAAAACGAGAAGATGGGAGCACAGGTTCTCTCAAACCTGCCTCAGCAAGAGTGGAAAGCAGGGGGTTTTATAGAGCTAAGAGGCTTAGCAGGAGGAGTTTCAAAGAAACAAAGGGGTAATCTTTCACTCCAGAGAAGCCCTTGGGCATTCTGACTTCTGGGCTTGAATGGCAGCTGTGAGCCAGCCATCCAGTGATCACAACCTCCCTGAAATCATTCTCTTCCTTCTGCAAAACAAGCTCACAAATCCTCATGACCCCTGAGTCACCCCCTCAAGTTAAACAGGAAAACACCTTAAAGGCAATCATGTTCTTATTGAATATCTACAGTAACCCTCAGGTACCTGTTTCAAGAGGACTAGGGAGATATAGTTGGACTGCTGGTGGCACCAAGGGCCTTCTCCAGGTTAATGGTCATGAATCAGACCATGGCCAGCTAGCCTGGGTGTGTTTTGTCTCATCCTTGTTCAGCTTCGAGGAGACAGACCTGGAGTCTGTTGGAGCTTAAAGGTAACCAGTGTTGGAGTTGTGCCAGGTGAGCACCAGAGGAGAGCAGCCAAGGAAGCTTATAAGGTGTCCAGTCTCTTTATAATTTAGAACTATTGTAATTTTTTTCACTCTAAGCTATTCAGTGAGGTGCAGCTTTATTTAAGAGCACTCCCTCCAGTGAGCTTGCCTAGGTGTTTGTTTTTTGTCTCCTGTTCATAAGCTAGTGTAAAAGTCATGCCAAGCTAACTGTTTCAGTCCTGGAAATCACTAGTTCCCAGGGATGTGAGGAGCAGCCCAGCAGACCTCTAGTTGCCCCAGTCCTTCCCCTGGCAAGTCTTCTAGAGCAACTCTGGCCTGCAGCAACCCCTCCCTCACCCCCAGCACCTAATGTTTGAATGATTTTTTGATCCTTTTTTTTTTTTTTTTTTTTTTGTGAGGAAGATTGTCCCTGAGCTAACATCTGTGTCAGTCTTCCTCTATTTTGTATGTGGGATGCTGCCACAGCATGGCTTGATCAGTGGTGTATAGGTCTGTGCCTGGGATCTGAACCCTCGAACCCTGAGTTGCCGAAGTATGAACTTAACCACTATGCCTCCAGGCTGGCCCCGATTTTTGATTCTTTAATATTCTCCTCTACTTTTTTTTTTTTTTAAAGATTTTATTTATTTATTTATTTTCCCCCCAAAGCCCCAGTAGATAGTTGTATGTCATAGCTGCACATCCCTCTAGTTGCTGTATGTGGGACGCGGCCTCAGCATGGCCGGAGAAGCAGTGCGTCGGTGCGCGCCCGGGATCCGAACCCGGGCCGCCAGCAGCGGAGCGCGTGCACTTAACCGCTAAGCCACGGGGCCGGCCCTCTCCTCTACTTTTTTTCTCTCTTAACTTGCTAATAAATTCTTGAGAGCAGAAAATATCTCTTGTATCTTCTGTTGCACATAGCACTTAAATATTTGGTTCTCAGGCTCAAATTGTATTCATTTATTAACTTTGCACCTCTGTTGTGTAGGATGAACTATTTGTACTGCTCACATTCTCTGTATGGGAACCTTCCAGGCCACTGCTGCCCAGCATGCAGCTTAGTGTCAGGTTCTAGCATCCTGTTCTGTTACAGGGTTTGGAGCTCCTCTGCCTGTCCTGGGAGGACTGGCCTAGTGTTTTTTCTGTGAAGCCCCACCCAGTGTGAGCCTCTAGATGGGTTGAGCAGGAATCTTTGTAAGTGCTGAAATATTTGAACCAGATGCCCCTCCTCCAAATAGAGTCCTTTGTCTCGGAGATTCATGGAAACATGAGCTGCCCATCTGCCTTTGGGCCCAGGCTTCTCAGGTTGCAACAGGATTGTTTAGGACACCAAAGGGATTTTTATTTTTGTACAGAAAAGATCCACAGAGACTGAGAAGGTGAGTAGGAGATAAACAAGATGAATTTTATTCTGGAAAATAGCTGATAAAATTTGCACATCTTGGAGGCAAAATAACTTAGTGCAAGGAGACACTTGGAGATCTGTAGTTCTAAAAGGGATATGTGAGATACTAATGGAGTTTGCCGTTGAGTGTGATAAGGGGGACAAAAACCACCATGAAATTCTAGGTGGAAAGCTGTAGTTCAACTCAGTGAGTATTTATTTAACATCTGATATTTGTTCGTCTCCATGTTAGGTCACTGGACAGGTGAGACGTACGAACCTTGTCTTCCAAGAGCTTACAATGTTTCCTGGTGCTAACCTCGTGCGGGGCATCAGTCACAAGTATGGACTGACCTGAGTGCAGCCTCAGTGGAGGGAGAAGACTTGTCCTCCGATAATGATACAGCCTGTGGTACTGACATTAGTGATACTGGAATTCAGATAGAGGAGAGAGCCCTGCTAGGGTGGGTGGAGGTGACTCCACAGAGAGGCAGGACTTAAAGGATAAGGAGGATTAGATGGGGCTGGGGTGGAAACCTAGGGGTCAGGTGTGAGGAAAGAGGAGGGTAGCAGAAAGAGGAGTTTGGACTTGATTCTCTAGCCTGGGAAAGTGGCTCGTGCCCTGGCTGTTTCTCGGGTCCTTAGATTCTATGGGAACGAAGGAGAACCCACTGTTTTTATCCAGACGCGCTCCCCCCACCCCCACCATTCCTCCTCATCTGTGCCAAACTGGAAATGGCAGTGATCCTCAGGTCCTCTCTGCCTCGCCTGGATCACTTGATCGCTGAGCCTGGAGGGCCTCCTCCTTTGTTTAATCTCACTCAGCAATTCTCTATTCCTTGTAACCCTATAATCCCTCTTTCTCTGAGTCTTCCTTCTCCTGCCTCCCCTAACTGTATTTCTAAATCACAAATATAATCATGTAAGTCCTCTGCTTAAAAACTCCTACTGATTCTCCACTGTCCACAGGACAAAGTCTAAGCTTCGTGACCTTTATAACCTGGCTCCAGCCTCCTTCTTCTGGCAATGTTCTGGGTCTGAGTGACCATTTAGGAGAAGTCGAAGTATTTTATAGTAAAGTATTTCAATTTTCCGTAGTTCATGGTGCTAAAAGGATAGACTATTCAGGTATGGTGACAACATACTTTTCTTATTAATCATGCAGAGCTACAGCACAGAAGAAGCATTTATATTTATAATGACCCCGGATCTCCAAGGAAAAGCTGAAATATGGATAGTAACTTATATTTTAAAAAGGCAGCAGAAAGATAAGTGATACCTTTGGGAGGGATTTCCACTTAAAATAGCAATTAAAAAAAATCTGGTGCTTAAAGAGATAAGCTTCAGGTATCTGGAAAACCCCCTTATGATGCCCAATACAAGAAATGTGAGGTGGTCAGCAGGCATACATGGATCTTGACAGATCTTATAAGGAAACATGAATGCCATAGATAAGACAGCAAGAGCTGAGTGATCACGAGAAAGCAGTCAGAGATACCCAGGCTCATCTGCTGGCTCCTGCGTGGAGTAGGGTCCCTAGGCCCTTAGCATCAAACATGCCTTTCCTTTTTGGGTCACTGGTTTGAATGGCATTTCTTGGAAATGGAAGCAGGTTCTTTTTTGACTGAGCACATAGAAGGTAAGAAATCAACTGAGACATATTTTGGAATTGGCTGCCCTGAGCATGTTTCAGAAGTAGGAGCAAACAAGTGGTCAGATCCCCACAGAGTAATGAGAGGCGGCAGAAGAGTAACAAAGAGTCTTGAAGGACCTGTGGTGAATGGACCAGTGGCGAGGTCGCCTTCCCTCAAAAAGAACAGATCTCTTGGTTAGGAGTTCTTGGGGGCAGCGATGGCGGTTTTAATGGAGCAGGAAGGGTCATTGTAGGCAACCCATAAAGAGGCAGAATCCTCCGTGACCTTGAGCAGAAGGGGATGTGTTCTAAAAGCCCTCATTGGGTGCATGCCCCTGTCACTTCCTCTCCCACCCCCCAGCAGCATATAAAGCCTGGGGGAGTAATGCAGAAGGACACAGACTGACTGTCTTCCCAACCCACTCAATTCAGTCAGCAGTGTGGACACTACACACACACTTGCAGGTGTGGAGGTGCTGCCAGGATTAGTGGCTGGCAGAGCTGTTCCTCCCATGGGGGATGAGGTTGCCTCTTTCCTCCTCTGTGAGCCAGTGGGGGAGGGTGGGAAGGGAGGCAGTGCTGCCCGACAGAGCAGGAGGCTGCCCGGATTACCGCACTGTCGTGTGTCTCCGTCTCTTAATCCTCCTGTGGAACAGTGGGTAGCCTGAGAAGCCTGAGTTGTGCTTTAGTTCCTGGCTATTCTGCCACATATAAAAAACGGATGAGCCTTGTTATCCAGTGAGTTTCCACAGTCAGTTCTTACTGAAGTCAAGCCATTGGTCCAAGGGAAAACAAAGCTGCAGGAAACATGGAACTTTCCTACACCTTCTTGAAAATGCAAGTCATGTTGCCTAGGAAGTACTTCTCTCCCCTTGTGTTCTGCACACCGCCAGCGTTGGAGCTATGGAAGAGGCAGCTGAAGTTATTCCAAGAAGGTGCTGGAAGTTTGGTAATAAAAGGAAGTGGCATTTCTCCCTTGCCTCTAGGCTGGGTTTCTGGGAGTGCACGTGGTCAAAAGGAGACCGTCCTAAGCTTTGAGAGATGATTATGTGCTGGGCTCCTGTACATGCTGGCCGGCTGTCCCGGCAGCGCTGGGTGAGGGCGTGCATGGGCCGTGTGCAAAGATTCCCAGTGTTAAATGCAGTGTGTTGAGTGAGAGGGTGCCAATTGGTTGCAAGAGTGTAGATAAACAAGAGCAAATATATATACAGCGGTGTGCAGCCTGCTCAAGTTCCCAAAGCTTGCTGCTAGACTGAAGACTTGTCTGGTCGCCACTCCCGGGCTGGCTCAGGAGCAGAGGGGAACCTGCGTGACTGAGCACAGAAAGTGCCTTCTCCCTGCTCGTTAGGAGGACGCTTTTAAAGCATTTCCTTCTAACATAACCAAATAGTCTACTGAAGGTGAATTGCTTTTGTGGGGGTGAAGGTGTGGCTGTGGACGGGGCGATGGAGAAAGCTGGGGGTGAGACACCTGGGAGCCCTGACCAGTCCTTCCTGGCGACTCTGAGTGACCCACAGGTGGCCTTGCTGTCCGTTCACAAGTGGCAGTCCATCAGGAGGAGCCCTGGGGCCAGGGGCTCCACCAGGCAGGGGACTTCAGAGGAGGAAGGCTCTCTTCCATCAGAGGAGGGAGAATTTTCACGGAAGGTTTTGAATGGAACACGAGAACTCAGTTCCAGTCAGGTCAGTGCGATTGCAGATGGGCCAAAAAGCCAAGAGGAGGTTGAATGCAGTTTATAGATGGAGGTATCTCCCATATCTTATGTTTGAGGGGTCAGGGGAGCGGGTCTGGGGTGGGGAGTGAGAGTATGAATATAGCACGGAGCCGGGAGTCAAGGTGGATTCTCCCGAGATTAAGTCCATGGTGGATACGTCTTGGGTTTTGTTGCTTCATATTTTCAGAACATTTTGTAAGCCTCTGTGGAGCAAAAGTTTTCCAAAATGCAGGTCAGACAAAAATGGATCTTTCCCCTCTTTTCGTTTTTTAAAATGTGTACCTAATTTTGTTACTCTCCACATTTTGACTAAATAAACATTTTGAAAATGTTGCTGCAAAACGAAGCTGCTCGTAGTAAGCAAATGAGTTTTGTTAACCCAAAGGTCAGGTCACGCTCAAAAGTAGGGCAGTGTAACATTTTGTAAAAATGGTGCCTTTTAGTAGCATTTCCGGGTGGGATTTGTGGTCTCTATGGGGTCTTTTCCATTGACATAAGTAGAAGGAAAAAAATATTAGTTAGATACAAAGGAAAGTTTTCATAAGTACTTTGCCCCTTTAAGAGTTATTTTTGTTTCTTCTGGTGTTAATTGTTTAAGAAGTCCCCAATAGTAAAGGAAATTTTATGAAAAGAGATTTTTGAAATGTGCAAGAGATGTTGAAGGAGATTTATGAATGTCTGTTTTTGCAGTGCGTGGTCAACTTTTATATTTTTAGCTGAGTGTCTAAGATAGCCAAATATTAAATATTTTTGGGGGGAATGCTGAGAGCATTTCTTTAAAATGTTTAAACCACTACTTTACAAAATCCAGTCTGTGTCTGAGATATTTGAATGTGAAATATTCTAATGATTTTTAATGGCCAGTTCTAATCTCACATGACTTAGGGAAGCAACCTGAACTTGGCTGGGGGAGCCCTTCAGAAAGGAGGGCCGGGGTAGAGGCCGCGGTAGAGGCCGCGGCAGCCGTGGTCTCACGGGTCTGGTGCTCGTCTGTATACTCTGCCGTTGTGGGGCTGTGAGACCTGGCAGGACTCTTGGACTTGTTGAGCTTCAGATTCCTCTTTACAAAGTGGAATGAAAAGTGCTGCCTCATAGGATTGTGAAAGCACTTTGTAGAGTAATGTATAAACGCAGAATGGTATTGTTTTTGACAAAATTATGATTTTCAGTGCAATTCCCAACTTGGAGATGTGTTTCGTGCTCTCTGAATGTAGCAATGAACATTCTCGTGTAATTGTATATCTAGTTGAGGAAATTCCCAGAAGTGGAATTACTGGGTCATATGCAATGGTCATTTAATACTATGATGGATATTGCTTAATTGCTCTCCAAAAAGGTTGTATAAAGTTAGTTTTCTACAAACAGTGGTGAGAATTACTTTTTCCTATGTGCTTGCTCTGTATCATCAAACTTTTAAGTTTTTGCCAGCCTATTGGGTAAAAACTGATATCTTGTTTACATTTATATTTTATTATTATTATTATTCCTTCTCATTCTTTTTCCCCCCCAGTTTTTTTTTTTTTTAAGTAGGAGGCTTTATTTATTTATTTATTTATATTTTTTTGGTGAGAAAGATTAGCCCTGAGCTAACAGCTGTTTCCAATCCTCTTCTTTTTGCTGAAGAAGATTGGCCCTGGGCCACATCCTCCTCCACTTTATATGTGGGATGCCTGCCACAGCATGGCTTGATAAGCAGCGTGCAGGTCTGCGCCCGGGATCCAGACCTGCGAACCCTGGCCTGCCGAAGTGGAGCATGCAAACTTAACCGCTACGCCACCGGCCCCTCTCCCACCCAGTTTTATTGAGATATAATTGGCATGTAGCGCTGTATAAATTTAAGGTGTACAGCATAATAATTTGACTTACATATATTGTGAAATGATTACCACAGTAAGTTTAGTGAATCGCCATCATCACATATAGATAGAAAAAGAAAAAGAAAAAGACAATTTTCTTTCCTTGTGATGAGAACTCTTAGGATTTACTCTCTTAATAACTTCCATATATACCATACAGCAATGTTAGCTATAGTCATCATGTTGTACCTTACATCCCTAGTACTTATTTATCTTATAACTGGAAGTTTGTATCTTTGACCACCTTCATCCAATTCCTCCTACCCCCACTCCCTGCCTCTAGTAACCACAAATTTGATTTCTTTTTCTGTGAGTTTGGTTTTTCTTTTTGTTTTAGATCCCACATATAAGTGAGATCATACAGTATTTGTCTTTCTCTGTCTGATTTATTTCACTTAGCATAATGCTGTTAATCTGAAAATTAAGCAAAAATGAGAGGCAGAGAGGTGTGTTTATTTTGTGATGGAAGAATTGAGAAATTCGAGGTATATAGATTTGGGTGGCAATCCAAATAGTGTCCTGCTAGGGAGTCAGAGGTAGGGGCTTTTAAAGGCAAAAGAGGAAGGTTTGCATTACAAAGAATTTAATTGGGGTTGGCAGCAGAAAGTAATCTTGGCTAAACATAATTGATTGCTAAGACTATGGTCAAAAGGAGGTAAGTCCATCATGGTGACTGAGTTGCAAGTTTCTTGCAGTGTTCTCAGAATATCTGTGTCTTGACTCAGTTTAGAAGTTCATGTTCTGCTCAATGAGGACGAGGCATAAGACCCATTTCCTTAATGGCCTCCTGGCTCCATTTTAAAGCCCTCAGACATTAGTGGCTCTGTTTTGTTTCACGTTTCACATTTCACATTTTCCCATTTTGATTGAGATCTTTCTCTGAAAGCATTGCTGATCAACATAGGTTTGTTTAGTCCCATGTCACTAGAATGGACCTGTCCCAGAAAGTCATGTCCCATGTTGGGGGGAATTTTTTTTTTTCTTTTTTCCCATGGTTATTCCAAGGAGTCAGTGTCATAAGGGTTAGGCCACATTTGAGCATCAAGGAGGCAGTCAAGAAATGACTCTTAGGCAGTTTCCTTGCCTGGGAATTTTCATCCAGTTACCTGAGGGTTCAGGTGAATAAGCCTTATCTATCATTTCAGTACTTTGAGCAACCATAATCTTGGTGTTTGTAGAAGGTCTGGAGCAGATCTGAGTGAGTTGTAGCATAAGAGGTTTAAATACAAGTGCACATAGCAAAATTCCAATAATAATCATAAACAATATTTGAAGTTCTGGTATTGTTCAAGCACCTATACCTGAAGGAAGCCAGCTGAAAACATCGATAGGGAACCAGAGGGTGTCGTTAAAAGACTTTGGACCAGAGAGGTCCTTGTGCTATTTTCCTAGTTTTTCTGAGTTCTAACTCATCTTCACCAGAGAGTTGACCCAGGTATAGCAAGAAGTGTTGGCTACACACAGATGCCACCCTGTTCTGCAAGGAGACAATCGAGCCCTATTCGATTATCTAATATAACCCTTGCTAGGGAATCCAGGGATTGTTGTTGAGCCAAGGCTCGACTGGTAGAATTTGCCAGTTTAGCTATGGTTAGGGATAAATTATCAACAGGTCATGATGGACTACACCAATCCAAGGGACAAATCCTTTGGCAATGATAATCAATGGAGAGTAGATGGGGTGTAAAAAGGGGATTGCCAAGTCTCGTCTAGACCTATGAGACTGAAGTTGGGTTTTTTCTTTTGCAAGAACTTGAAATGGAATGGTTTCCTAAAACCATTCCTTGAAATGGAATCCTAAAATGCCTTGTCCTGCCATACGCCAGTCATCTAGACATTCATAAGCCGGTGGTTCCCTGTTGTAATCACACACAAAGGTGTACCCAGAAGGGGCACGTAGTATGCTGCCAAGAGTGCGGTTGTTTATGTTCTTGTTGGCGCGGATGAGTTTAGGGATATGTTCTAGCCAAGGATCATTGTGGCCACTACAGCCCATGAAGGGGCTAGCTAACAACCATCTGGCCCTGTTGCAACAAAATTCTTGATATAGATGAATGAGATTACATTTCTTACAAATTTTGGTCAGCCATTTGCTTGATGCTGGAGGCGAAGGAAAAAGCATGAGGGTCTGGGTTTTTGGACTGGTAGAGGAATAGGGCTTTAGGGAGATATTTTGTGGAGGGCTCAACCAAAAACAAGGTGGAGATACTTGATCAAATAGTTTTACTCTGTAGGCAGTTTTAAGGGCTGGGCGCTTAAAATCTACTGTAGCATTGGGGACCAAGGACAAATTGGTGACGGGTATAATCAGGGTCCGTAGTTCCCGATGACTTTGGCCTTTGGAGACATATCCAGCACTCAGAGAGATATCCCCCAGTTGCTCTAGTTTGGGAAGAGTTCGCTAGAGTATTATCCTCCCATTTGCCAATAGACATACCCTCAGAGAAGGTAAAAACTTCAGCTAAGATTAAACAGATTCTAACAAAGTGCTGACTATTCACCATCTTGGACATAATAAAGGAAGTCATTAAGTGGTATTCTGAAACCACCAGCTGAATAAGTGAGTCTTTCTTAGCAAAAATGTTGAATTATTATCATCAGGCTCAATAAATTTATGCGTGTGATAGAGTATGTTTATTATGAAGAGGATCGGTTGTAAGTTTAGAGTGATGTGTATGTATATAGTGGCCTGATCCTGAATCTTGGGAAAGCTATCAAAATCAGATGCTGTGTGCCTCACTTCCTAGTTAACGTTATTCTTAATTCTCCAGTCGGTTCGGAAGTCTGAGTGGGCGTTGGAACCTTCTTTAAATGAGAAACATGAATCCAAGAATCAACACCTTTAAGTTTGGCAGTACAAGGATTAGTTAAGAGTACCTGATATGGGTCCTTTCAATCTAGGTTGTGAAGAATCTTTTTGAAGGTGTTGTTTCTAGTACACAAAGTCACTTGGCTGTAGGTTCTGAAGTTTGTTGTCTTCATCTCCCGGGAACGCACTGTGGAAAGATTGTTCTACCAGGGCTTGAATTTTATCTAAGGCTATGATTATTCCTTTGCAATGCTCAAGCATGTCTCCTTTAATTAACTGAATATCAGGAGCAGAGAGTGCGAA